ACAACAATTAAACCAACAACATTAACAAAAGCAAGACCGTTGGGCTTCTTGTTTAGAACTTCATTTTAAATCCAAAGAAAAAGAAAACAGAAAGTCACCAGTGGCAGAGGATGTGGCACACTCTCTGGGGTCCATACCCAGCCCTAGTTCCAACATTGTTACTTATTCAAACAATTCTCAAATTTAAATGCTCTTGTTCCAAATACGGTCTTATTTATCTACATTAAATTGCATCTTTCATGAGTTTATAATTAGTCTAACTCATTCTCCCGATTTTATATTTTAAATATAAGAATAAGAAGGGGAGAAAAAAAATGCTAATTGCTGGGCGTGAAGCTGAAATAGAAAGATCAAAAGTTCCAGACCTGGGGCTGCAGAGACAGCTCAGTGGTGGAGAAGGAGCCGTCTGTAACTCCAGGGGACCTGATGGCCTCTTCTAGCCGCCTTGGGCAGGAAGTACACACATATGTAGTACACCCACACATATAAAATAAATATTTTTTAAAAGGAGCCAGGAGTAGGGACACTTGCCTTTAATCTCAGCACTCAGAGGGGGGGTGGATCTCTGTGAGTTCAAAGCCAGCCTGGTCTACTGAGAGTTCGAGGTTGGCTAAGGCGACACGGAGGCCTTGTCTCACATTCGTTGAGCGTTTACAGAGTGGAGGCATGGCTTAGTGGTAATGTGCTCGCCTAGCATACCTCAAGCCCTGGGTTCCATCCCTAGAACCATCCAAACCAAAATAAGACAAAAGGCTCTTTGATATTCCTCACACGGACACTCGGGACTGACCACTGAGGTCTTGTGAGCCAAGTCTCAGAAAAAGCGACAGAACTAAAAGCTCCTGAGAAGTTCACAAACACACTCCCTGAACTAATTTTAGATTTCAGCTAAATCATGCTCCAATGGCTTGTAATCATAACCCAAATGTCATTTTCCATCAGAAACTCATTTCCATTCCCTGTACCAGTCTTTAACCGAGCAAGCCTAGCCTGGCCTTCTGCTCTACTCAATAATAATCTCATCCTGCCTTAATCACACTTCCCATCCCGCCTAGCTCACTTCCCAGAGACTCACTCATCCCCTACTTAGGAAACACCGGAGGCCCCTCTGCCCTGGTGCTGGAAGGAGGGAAGTCTTGCTCATCATTCCTCTACTGGCTTCTAGGCACCCCTTAGGCATCCTTCCCAAACAACTTGACTGTCCCTTTCCTGTCCCTACTGCTCTTGGCTCCCCCTGTGTTCAGTCCCCTTGGCTCCAACACCTCCCGTCTCTTCTCTATTCTGAGCTCCTTTCAGAATTGTATATTTAGCCAAAATCACCACCTTGAAGCAGCCTGTCTTAGGTCTACAGAAACAGCCCCAGGAAAAGAGAAACAAGAACAGTTTCCATTAACCTCACATTTTACACTATTTCCAGGTCCTTAGGTTCTCCTCTAGAAACCCCAAAGAAGCAAACCAGGTGGACAGGGGAACACTGTCTTTACTATAACTGTTCGATCTCGACTCCACTTTCTATAGAAGATTTATTTCATCTCTTATTTGAAAGTCTGCCCTTGAAACTACACACAAAAAACTGGCGGCAGGATCCAGTTACACCTTCCCTAACTAGGAAGGTGAGCAGACAGCAAGCCAGAAGCAGGGGAAGGGAGATGAACCTGAAAACGCACAGACTAAGCCAGGCTAGAGCTTTAGCTGTCTCAGCCTCAGCTTCTCATGATCTGAATCTTCTGGCTCCTCAGAGGCTGGTCACATAGCATCCACAGTCAGGAAGCAGAAAGTGACAAATTCTGGTGCTCGGCTCCCCTCTCCCAGTCCAGGTGATCCCCTCCCCCTCCTGAAGGTCCAACCCTCCCCAGCCCCAGTCTCCATTCCCACAGCCAGGTTGCTCTTCATCCCTCTGCCTTACTAAATACCCATAAAGGGCTGGAGAGATGGCCCGGAGGTTAAGAGCACGGGCTGCTCTTCCAAAGGTCCTGAGTTCAATTCCCAGCAACCACGTGGTGGCTCACAACCATCTATAGTGAGATCTGGTGCCCTCTTCTGGTGCACAGGCACACATGCAGGCAGAATGCTGTATAAATAATAAATCTTTAAAAAAACAAACAAACAAAAAAAAAAAAAAAACCTATGGCCAAGAAAAAGAAAACAAAACAGTTTTCTGTTACAAATTTAATGCTGTTTAGCATACCACCCTAGACAACCAGTTTCTGCCCCACACTGCTTTTTAAATAACTGTGTAAGTGTATTTTACCATTTGCATTTCCCACATACAGGGTTTGAAAAGAAATCAACACCCTTTAACCACATTTTACTTTTCCTTTTTTCTCCTTTCAAACAACTAACTGGGTCCGTATCAGCATAAAATTGGCCTATATTAAAGCACAAAAGAGTAAAAATCATTTCACAGAAAAAAAAAAAATAAAGCTTAAGACAAAACAAATTGCCCAGGATAGCCCAACCAATGAGCACAGAACTATATAATTGGTATTTGGAGCCCAGAGAGACCTGTGAATTCGGTGGTTCGCACCACAAACACAGAACCCTGAGAAGGGGTATGCAAGTGACTCGGCTTTAGGAAAAGTAAATCCCATCAACTCCTTATAGGAGTATTAAATTAACATATATTAAATTAACATAATTAGGTATCCATTATGTCCTCTTAGAGAGAGAGTGTGTGTGTGTGTGTTCACGAGTGCATGTTACTGAAAATCACACACAGGGCCTTGGCCATGACAGGCAAGTGTCCTACCACTAAGCTACATCTCCAACCCCTTCCTACTTTTCAAACATTTTCCTTGCCATATTACATTGTCCAAGACCTCCCACGCCACACTGAACAGAAGCTGTAAACTGTAGTGTCTGTGTGACTCTAAGCTGTTGTGCTTGCTGCTGTTGATTTTGAGACTGGGTCTTCCTTTGCAGCAGTGGCTAGCTTGGAACTCACTTATGTAGACCAGGCTTGGCCTCCAGCTCAGAGGTCTGCCTGCCTCTGCCTCCCAAGTGCTGGGATTAAGGGACCAGGCTTCTAAGGTTTCACCATGATTACCATATCTGTTTTTGGAGGTTGGTTTTGCTTTGTTATTTAGTTTATCAAAACCCCTTCCTGCTGGGTAGGATGCTTCACACCTGTGATGCCAGCACTCAGCAGGAGGAGGCAGCCTGAGCTACCTAATGAGTTCCGAGACAAACAGGAGAGGGAGAGTGCAGAGGAGAAACAAAAGCTGTTCTGGCTTCATCTCTGGCCTCGGCTGCTCCCTGGTGTATTTCCACTCTCCTCTCCCCATTTCTTCAGGTTCCTTCCTACACACCTCTAAAGTATTATGTCAGCTGGGCGGTTGGTGGCGCAAACCTTTAATCTCAGCAGGGGAGAGGCAGAGGCAAGTGGATCTGAGTTCGAGGCCAGCCTGGTCTACAGAGTGAGTTCCACACGGCTAGGTCTACACAGAGAAACCTTGTCTCAAAAAACAAAAATAAATAAATAAATAAAGTATTATGTCTGCCACCTCGAGTAGCAGAGACGATTTTGAGCGCCTTACGCCTGTCTCTTTCAAGTCTCTAGACCATCAGTTCTCAACTTTCCTAACGCTGCTACACTTTATTATAGTCCCTTAAGTTGTGGTGACCGCCCCCCCCAGCATAAAATTCTTTTTATTGATACTTCATAACTTTAACTTTGCTACTGTGACGAATCGTAACGAAAATATCTGTTTTCCGATGCTGTTCGGCGACTCCTGCGAAAGGCTGGTTTGAGCACGGCTACCGCCCTGCAGATGTCCGCCTTCCACCTCTGGAACGCGTCCTTCAAAAATTTCCGCTCTTTCAAATTAAACCTGGGAAAGGGCGAGAGAGTGCTGGGCTCCTGCTGGCTTTCTAACGTGTTGCCTTCTTCTACATGGGCCCGGCTGTTTGGTGGCTGACAGCATCTCGCAGCGGCGGTCCGGTAGGGCAGACGACCCAGATGTGTGTAACTCAATCCCTTCCCTACCGCCCCCGGAGGGAGAGCCGCGTGGAGCATCCGGGCAGGGTTCCTCGGCGCAGGAGGAAGGCGGTCCCGGGGTTCTCAAGCCCAAGAAGGGCGAGAGGAATGAACCTCCTAAAGCCCGCGGGGACGGAGAATTCTTTTCTGGCATCAGTTTTTCTTTCAAACCAAAAGCGCCTGCCGGGGCGGCGACACCGACCAGCGCGGCCGAAAGGTTGCATCATGCGCAAACACGCCGCGCTTGAGAAACAAGAAAACCAGATGGTGGTGAAGCACCGGACAGGAAAACCCGAGCCGGGAATCTCCGTCTTTCCCGGAAACTCCGGGGCATCCACCCTTCTCTCCGCTTTTTCTTTCCCCCTCCTCTGCTGCTCTTGTCCGGATTTTGGGCGTGCGTCAGGGGGGCTCACATCTGTAGCCCAGGCTGGACTCGAACTCGATCCATTCCTCAAGCCTCAACGGCTGGGGCACAGCCTAGCCACCACGCCCGCGTTTAAAAACGTCTCCCCTCCCCCATGGAGGGGGAGGACAGGGTGGAGGGTCCCGCGCATCCCGGGCTCGCCCCGAGCTCACCGAGTAGCCGAGGCTGGCCCTCAACTCCCACGTCCTCCCGGGCCCACCCTTCCCAACTGCTGGTGTCGGGCGGACGCCACCTAGCCCGGCTCCCGGGTTGGGGTTTTGGTCTAATTTTCGTCTTTATCTTACTGAACGGGGCACCGAAATTAAAGTTTCAGTTTCACGGCGGCGGGGCGCGGGCGTTCGAGTTGACTCGGGGGAGCGATCGAGCGGGCGGAGCGGGCGAGGAGGGTGACAGGACCCGCGCGGCGCGGCCCGCCCCGCCGGGTCCGGCTCCGGGTCGCCGCGCCCGCGGGCTCCGCCGAGGTCCCGCTGCGAGGCGGGAAGGCGCGGGGCCCAGACAATGGGAGAGGGGCGCGGGGGGCGCGGGGACGCCGCGCGGGGGCGCCTCGGGGCGCGGGGCGCGCCTCGGCCGCGCCGCCCGGGACGGCGAGCGAGCGCTCACCTTGACGAAGAGCTCGATGAGGGGCTCTTTGTCCTCCTCCTTCAGCCCGTTCAGGGGCATCGACAGCGCCATGGCCGGCTGCGCTGGGCTCCGCGGGCGGCGGCTGCGGCTGTGCCTCCGGGGCTGCTGTGGCTGCGGGTTCCCGCCGCGCTCGCTCGCTGGACAGTCCCGGCGTCTAGCTGCCCGCGGCCTCGGCTCCTCGGCACCGCCTCACGCCTCCCGCGCGACTCCGACGGGGCCGCGGTCCCAGCCGCTTCAAACCGCGGGGCGGGGCCCGGGGGCGGGGCGGGGCCCGGGAGGCGGGGCGTGGGCGGGGCGGCGGCGCGGAGCCTCCGGACTCTGCGGGTGGGGGAGTGGGCGGGGCGCGCTTCGGGGCGTGGCCTCTGGCGAGGAAGGCTGCTGGGGGGGCGCGGCCTAGGCTGGGCAGCGCCGACTGGCGGGGCGGGGCCCCTCCACAGCCACGCCCCTCGGGGCGGGAGGGAGAGGGTCCGGGGAGCCGGAGCCTGACACCGCCTCCCTCCGTGGCGCAGACGCGTCCTCCGCAGCTGCTGCTGGTTGGGTGCCAGGTGACCTCATGCGGCGGCCCGCCTCGCGCCCTCTCCCCGCTGCAGCCGCAGGACTCATCATCCCCGCCCGTTCCCGGGGCGGCGGCCTCCCGGGCTCCTTCTGTTAGGCGCGGCCGCCTTTTCCTGGAAAACTTTTGCGAAAGTTTTCATGTCCTTAAGAAGGACTTTTTTTCTTCCTCTGACTGCGGGCCTCCCTTTGGGCCTCTGCTCTATTAGAAATCAAGATGCTCGGAAGGGCTTATGAAGCCGTGCAGGGTCCCGGGCTTGACTTAGGCCGAAACGGGATCCCGCTCCAGCACAGACCCTGTGCCTGAGGCTGAGCCAGACTCTTAAGTCTTTTCTCCGTTCTGTTTGCCCCACCTGGACCGATCCCTTTCCTCGGTTCACCTGGACAGCCTGAGTGAGGGCCGCCTGAGTGCCGCCCTCAGGACGCAGGAGCCAGAGTACTTTAGACCCTGCGGGCAGGGGCCAGAGACACGTGGTCTGCCGTAGACTGCCTGGGGTAAATGTCACCTCTGGAAAACGTGCCTTCCGGCTTTCCTTAATCTACTCACTCTGTGGTACCTCCCAAATTAGGGTGATGAGTTGATTTAAAACAAACTAAATTGGGGGTGAGGGACAACAATTATCCCTCTGTGCCTGGTGTGGACCAGAATGCTTCAACAAGTTGGAATACAGTGTAAAAACACGGTACGACATGCAACTTTATCCTCCTTCAATCCTATGCAAGTTGCTAGATTCTCTGAGTGGGATACTGGGCCCCAGCAATTAGCAGTGGTCTTAAACACCCTAAGCCTCCGCCTAACTTGGTGGCTCTCAGGAGGCTCAGGCAAGAGACCTGAGAGTTTGAGGACAATATGAATGCATTGCAAGACTCTCAAAAAAGAAAAATATCGAATAAGGGCAGTCAAGATGATTCAGCAGGTGAAAGCACTTGTCTTGCAGGACTGACCAGCCTGGATCTGATGTTGGGGGACCCAACTCATGGTAGAAGGGGAAATAAAACAACTCCAAGTTGTTCTCTGACTTCCACATGAGTGCCATCACACGCGCACACACACACACACACACACACACAACAAGTTTGTTGTTTTTGTTGTTGTTTAGATAGGTTCCCACTGTGTAGACCAGGCTAGCTAACTCAGATCTGCCTGTCTTTGCCTCTACCTCCCAAGTACTGGGGTAAAAGGTGTCTGCCACTGCAACCAACAATAATAGGGTTTTGTTTATTTGAAACAGGGTTTCTCTGCATAGGCCTGGCTGTCCTGAAACTCGATCTGTAGGCCAGGCTGGCCTTGAGCTCAGAGATCTGCCTGCCTCTGCCTCCCTATTGCTCGGGTCACCCCTGCCTAGCCTAGTGAATTTTTAGTAGACTAGGGATGAAGGCATGCTCAAAGCCCTAGGTTCGAGTCCCAGCACTGCATAAAACAGAATGTGGTCTCCTGTACCTGCCATCCCTGCCCTGCAGAAGTAAGGGCAGAAAGATCAATTTAGGGTCACCCTCAACTACATGAGGATGAAGCCAGCCTGGGCTACATGAGACCTTGTAAGACTTAGGACTGCCTTTCCGTATCTAGACTAGAGAGTGGTGCTGGTTACTGCCCTGTATAGTTAGGGAGGGCCTTCTGGCATCCTGTCCACCGCTACAGGAGAGGCTGGCACCGTATTCAACTCAGTGACCAGCTAGTCTGTTGACAAGTAAAGAAAACCGGAGGGCTGCCCTGTAGAGTAAAACCTGAACCAGAAACAAACTAAAGTGATGTCTGGACTCTGACCTGGAGCCTCCTGTTAATTTTTCACAGAACTGCGACCAGTACCCTTGCTGCCTACCCTTTCACCAGGATCCCAAGTGGTAAGTTCAAAACACAGGCACACCTAAAATGACCCCAGCACAGCCTAAAACACTCCAGACTGGCCCAAAGACATCTATGAATCCACTGGATCCCAGTTAGGGGGTATCCAAGTCTGTTTGGGTCCCCAAACTGCTAGCTCAGATGTGTCTGTGCTGGGCCCATGCTGGCCCACAGCACCCCAAGCACAGACAGGACCCATACTGGAAGCAGCAGCACAGTAGGGGTCTTTCTGTCTCTTTGCTTAAATAGAAATCTCTAACGGAAGTAAGCCTGTGACATTCTCTCCAAACCCTAAGGTAGTGTGATCCCCAGGACTGTCCCTGTCCACAGACCTGGAGCCTGTACCTTGGAACCTGCTCACAGTCATGCCTAGAGGGTCCCAGCCTCCGCACTGATGCTCATGAGCATGGGAACACAGGTCTGGGAGGAGGAGGAAAGACAGTGTTTACGCAGGGAGGTTCCATAGCACCTTTGCTTCCAACTTTGTAACGCAAGACTGATTCATGCCCTGTGCTCCTGTTTGTTTTTATAACGAAGAGAAACCTCGGAGATGGGTGGAGGTGTGCTCTCCTCCGCACACACCACTCTGACCTCATCCCCTACTGCTCCCCCTTGTCTGCCGCACCCCAGCCCCAACGCCTCCTTTCTGGTCCTTGGAAATATCAACCACATTGCTGCCTTGCGGCCTTTGCACTCACTCTCTGGGTTCTTTGTTGACCAGAATTCCTGCAACTCTCACTCGCTCGTGTCCTTCAGATCTTTGCTGGAAAGTAACTCCTTAGAAGTTCACCAGGTACCACCTGTGCAAGCGGGGCGCTACCAGCTCTCATCCAGCCTCTGCTTTCTTCCTCTCCATGTTCTGGAGAGGAAGAAAGAAGAAATGTATGTATGGGTGTATTCCTAAGATATGTCATAGGTGGCCTAACCCTGACACAGCCTAGCATCATCTGAGAGGACAGTCTCAGTTGAAGAACTGCCTAGATCCGATTGGCCTGTGGGCATGTCTATAAGGGACTCCTTTGAGTATCAACTGATGCAGGAGAGCCAAGCCCACTGTGGGTGGCATCATCCTCTATAGGTGGTCCTGGGCTGTATAAGAAAGCTAGCTAAACATGAGTGTGCAAGCCAGTGCAGCAGTGAGTAAGCTCACAAGCAGCATTCCTCCCCACCTGAGTTCCTGCCCATGAACTGTGACTTCCCTCAGTGAAGAACTGTGACCTGAAGGCTTCAGCTAGGTAAATCCTTTCCTCTCCTAAATTGCTTCTGGTCCTGTCATTTGTCACAGCAACAGAGAGGAAACTGACCTATGGACCTAGACCGTCTCCCCAGTAGCACATACAGTTCTCCAGGGAAGAGGTTTATTGGGTCTGGGTGATGACTACCATTCCTGAATATTGCTGGCTCGTCAATAAGAGTGTACACAGAATGACTGAGCCCTGAGGCGGGGTGACTTTCCTGGGGAGACTTAAACACCTATTCTCTTCAAATAGAGAGGGAGGAGGCCACACAGAGAGGCTGTCAAGTCCTCCTTGGTGGATTACTGAGTTTCCTGGGATATTTACAGGAGCGTGGGTGAGTCCTGAGCAGCTGCCATCCTGGAGAGGTCCCACCCCAGTGGGTGGCCTCTGCCAGCTTCAGCATTTCTCAAAGGACATTCAGCTGGGGCAGGAGGGAGTGGCGATTGGAATCTTAGGGGGGGGGGCCTGGTGACCTTCTCGCCTCTTCTCCAGGAGGGAATGTTAATAGTCCCAATACCTTACACTTAGATGCATAGGTTTGTTTGTTTTGTTGCTATGACGACAGGGTCACCACAGCTGCTTGGCTCTGTGATGGCCACGATCACACCAAGCCCACAGGAAACAGCTCCATACCGTGGTATCCTGTACCTGGGCTGCATCGCATGCGGTCTCGAGCCTGAATCCTAGCCCTTGGAGCCTGAGGCAGAGAAGCAACAGCAAACCCTCGGCTAGCCCAGGCTGTACAATGAAACCCTTATCTAAAAAGCAAGGGGAGGGAGCAGTGAGATGTCAGCTGGAAAGGCACTTGCCCGGTAAATCTGAGTCTGATTCTGAGTACCCACAAGAAGGTGGAAAGGGGCGGAGTCTGTACAAATAGCTTAAGGGTCAGAGCACCTTCTGCCACCTGAGATGTGTGCCTCTAAGTAAATAAATAAATCAGTAAACACCATGTCCCAGGGGTCAGGTTTTCCAAAGCACAAGGTGGGGTTTCCGGGGAGCTCCCAGCAGGCTGATTGCCAGTTTCCACCCAGTCTGATTGTTACCAGCTCAGGGCGGCTCGCTGGCCCTCTCGGTGCTTCTGAAGAACAGAGGTGAATGGAACCGAGTTAACAGGCTCAAAAATGGACCAGTCGGATGCCCTGTCGGTTCCGGGGGTTGGCACAATACCCATCAGTCAACACACTGTGCCATTCGACCAGCTCCATGCTGTGGGGCATGGAGCTTCCCAGTCAATCCTGGTTTCTCACGGGCACGTTTCTCAGGCTCAGTTCCCACCGTCTTCATTTGGAGAAGATGAAAACTTGGGCTCAGGGAACAGCTTCCCCAGGTCACGTGACTTGAAGATGGCAGCACCATCGAGTGTCTCGGAGCCAGTGCTCCTCTGCACAACTGTACCATGAGTGAGTGTGGCACAAGATAACCTCCCTTATACCTGTGACTCCCTGTCCCAAAGCACAGCACAGAGAGTGGGCAAAGTGCCAAGGTGACCTGGAGTGTACCACCCCATAGTTCTTGAGAGGGTTCACAAAGAGGGTTCGCAGAACAAAGAGGCATAGATAAAGGCTAGCCACTAATCTCATT